AAGACTTTATCAATGAAAATGTCACAATTATCAGAAAAAGCATAAATGTCAGAGCATGTCAGAACACCTCCAGGGCCCAGAAAACACCCCAGACCCCAGAGGGTTAAGAGCCAGAGAGTGCACAGTGAGTCCAGTTTTACTGTCTAGTCTTTCTAGGTGGCGACCCTCAGTTTTCATCATTCAAAAGTTCAGGAGTGAACCAGGGTGAGGCACGAGTAGATGGAACCAGTCTAGTTTTAACAGGAGCATGCCTCTCAAGTGTTTGAGACAGAGCATTATAGTAGATACAACAGATTTCTGATGGACAGTTAGATAGTAGACATTCTGACAAGGTAGAAGCCCTTATTAAAACAGAGAAAGAAGTTGGATTCACAGAATTGATTTTACGATAAGTCAGCATTTTCTTCAGAGGTGATATAGATATTGGAAAACTACAACTGAAGTTTATGAGTTTGTGATCTGAAAATGCAAAATCAGAGCCACTAACAAGAATATTGTTCAAGCCAGATGTCAACAAGTTTCCCATTCGGACTTTACATGTCAGATACAGCTTTTCACTCCTCAGATGTAATTCCCCCTCAAGCTCAAAAACATGACAACAAAAAGTACTATGGCTCTTTCTTGAACACCTGGAACAGATTTGCATCGTTTGCAAGGAATGGATTTGTTGTGATTGATGTGCAAAGTACTACCATGGAGGAGCTCTCAACAATTACTGTTGAAATACTAACAAAATGCTAAAAAGAAATACTGAAAGCTCTATACCTCGATATTCATTATTAATATTACAGAATAAGTTCTTGTAACACATGTGTGAAATTATGATATAGCAAATATATCCGTTAGGGAGTCACTACATATGGAGCTCTAACCCAATACGAGGGCTCACCTGAAAGGGCATCCCACAGGGAATGGGTCTGTTAAAGAACATTTGCTGCCAGGTCCTCTTATGTCTCCTCGACCATGAGGAACTCCACGTGCAGGCCCAAATCACTCTTCGATATGGTTAACAAACTCACTAATGCACCTCAACATGTTATGTCGAGCTCTGGGGTGCTTGTGAATAGTTGAAAAGGTTGTTGCTTTGCAATTGCGATCTTATTTGGATGTTAATAGTCTTTTTGACCCTTTTCAGTCAGGATTTGACCATCGCACAGCACTGAAATTGCTCTTCTGCGGGTGATTAACGACATCCTTTTGTACATCGATTCAGGGTTAATAAACATCTTTATTGTTGGTTGTCTACAAACCGGAAGGTTGGTGGTTCAATCCTCGGTTCCACCTGACCAAGTGTCGAGGTGTCCATGAGCAAGACACCTAACCCCAGCTGCTCCCGACGAGCTGGATGGCGCCTTGCATGGCTGCCGTCGCCCGTCGGTGTATGAATGAGTGAGTGAATGGGTGAATGTGAGGCAAATTGTAAAGCGCTTTGGTGGCCATTGGGTCTGTGAAAGCGCTATATAAATGCAGTCCATTTACCATTTACCATCTTGATGCTCCTCGATCTAAGCGCTGCTTTTGACACAGTCTGCCATGAAATACTGATCTCTCGGCTTTCTGATATCGGCATCACTGGTTCCGCTCTTTCCTGGCTCATTTCCTACATCAGCGACAGAAAGCACTATATCAGCATACAGGGGTATAGATCAGCATACAGGGGTATAGATCAGCATACAGGAGTAGTATAGATCAGCATACAGGGGTATAGATCTGCATACAGGGGTATAGATCTGCATACAGGGGTATAGATCAGCATACAGGAGTAGTATAGATCAGCATACAGGAGTAGTATAGATCAGCATACAGGGTTATAGATCAGCATACAGGGGTATAGATCAGCATACAGGGGTATAGATCTGCATACAGGGGTATAGATCAGCATACAGGGGTATAGATCAGCATACAGGAGTATAGATCAGCATACAGGGGTATAGATCAGCATACAGGGGTATAGATCTGCATACAGGGGTATAGATCAGCATACAGGAGTATAGATCAGCATACAGGAGTAGTATAGATCAGCATACAGGGGTATAGATCAGCATACAGGAGTAGTATAGATCAGCATACAGGGGTATAGATCAGCATACAGGGGTATAGATCAGCATACAGGGGTATAGATCAGCATACAGGGGTATAGATCAGCATACAGGAGTATAGATCAGCATACAGGAGTATAGATCAGCATACAGGGGTATAGATCAGCATACAGGGGTATAGATCTGCATACAGGAGTATAGATCAGCATACAGGAGTAGTATAGATCAGCATACAGGGGTATAGATCAGCATACAGGGGTATAGATCAGCATACAGGGGTATAGATCAGCATACAGGGGTATAGATCAGCATACAGGAGTATAGATCAGCATACAGGGGTATAGATCAGCATACAGGAGTATAGATCAGCATACAGGGGTATAGATCAGCATACAGGGGTATAGATCAGCATACAGGAGTATAGATCAGCATACAGGGGTATAGATCAGCATACAGGAGTATAGATCAGCATACAGGGGTATAGATCAGCATACAGGGGTATAGATTAGCATACAGGGGTATAGATCAGCATACAGGGGTATAGATCAGCATACAGGGGTATAGATCAGCATACAGGGGTATAGATCAGCATACAGGGGTATAGATCAGCATACAGGGGTATAGATCAGCATACAGGGGACAGGGGTATAGATCTGCATACAGGGGTATAGATCAGCATACAGGGGTATAGATCTGCATACAGGGGTATAGATCAGCATACAGGGGTATAGATCAGCATACAGGGGTATAGATCTGCATACAGGGGTATAGATCAGCATACAGGGGTATAGATCAGCATACAGGGGTATAGATCAGCATACAGGGGTATAGATCAGCATACAGGGGTATAGAACAGCATACAGGGGTATAGATCTGCCACTGCTCCGCTTAGACAGGGTGTTCCTCAAGGCTCGGTTCTTGGCCCACTGTTGTTCATCATCTACATCTATCCACTTGGTGACATCATTCGCAGGCATGGACTTCAGTTCCATTGCTATGCTGACGACATTCAAATTTATCTCACCACAGCTCTGATAGGCCATCCCTGCCCGACTCCCTCACTGCATCCGTCAGGGACATCAAGCACTGGATGTCCCTTAATTTCCTCAAATTAAATGATAAAAAAACTGAGATATTAGTGATCGGCTCTGCTGCCTCAGTCAAAAGGTCTTATTCGACTCATCTTTTGGCTCTCATATTTCTTCTCTTGTCAAAAACTCTTTTTTTCATCTTCGCAATATTGCCCGTCTACGATCTTCTCTCAGTTTAGCTGACGCTGAAACCTTAATTCATGCACTAATCACATCACGGCTAGATTATTGCAATGCTTTATTTCTTGGTCTGCCCAAAAAACTTAGTTTACTTTTTATAAAAGGAACTGTACAAAAACATAGATAATTTGCTATTGCGTGTTTTTGTTCTTGACAATTCTTTGACAATGTTCTTGACAATGTCGCAAAGCCTGGTTTCAAAACTGATGGTGGTATTTATAGCATTTTTTTTTTTTTTACCGAATATAGGCCATAAATGACCCGCAGACAATAGAAGCGTTAAATTATGATTTGCAAAAGTACTGGAAAAATACAGTGTAGTTTTCAGCTGGTCAACAGCAGATGTTGTCGTGCAGCGTGTCACGTGTGCAGGTCTGGGGATTTCCGTTTGACCAGTCTCAGAAGAGTCGACTTCCTCTTCTGCCGCTTTAAAGAGAACACATCCGGCAGAGTCCTAAAACTGAACTGAGAAGGCATCAATAATGAAATATTCAGTCATCACGAACGGCTCAGTTACTGGAGGTCACATGACGCACTGTCAAAGTTACTGCAAAAAAGAGGTGAAATTCCCTTTCATGGACTTCAAAAGAAATAGTGTTTTATTCCCGGTGAATAACAACTGACCCCACGGTTCTCATATATATATAGAATGAACAAGTCAACAGTTGTTTCAGTTATGTCATTTGCAAGGTTTCATTTCCTCACAGTCTTGTCTTTTGTCTGCTTTTCCAATACTTTTCATGCTGAAAATCAAAGGTTTTGAAAAATGATTGAAACTGGGATCTGCTTGGATCGGCTGCTTTCAGAGAATGAGCCCTAGAAGCATCTGAGGTTATTTCGCCAATGAATCCCAAACATTAGGATGTTGCACGATGGAGATGCACGTATAAACATCTAGAGAGCGTGAAAGTCTGACACAGATGACAACACAAACAACACACTGTTTTCATAAGGTATAAGGTGTGTGGTTTAAAGGGTCAGTTCACAGAAAACTGCTCATTCTGTCATTCTGCTCATTACTGAATAATTGCTTATATAGCGTGATTTCAGAGAGATTTGACACATCTTATTGAAGATAACGCGTTAGTGGTAAGAAATTAAACGTTAGTGGTAAGAAGTAAATGTAATGTTATCAGTTAGTCACATTATTGTTATTAATTTTTTAATGTCTGTGAATAAAATTAATGCCGCTTATATGGGATGCGGTAGAATATGTGAAATAAATATGATGAAAAGAGTTTAATATAACGTTAAGTGAACGCTCAGGGAATGTTAAGGAAAGGTTAAGGGGATCGTTCTGCAAACCTAAAAAACATTCAACAAACAAATCAAACGTTACAAACATTGTTTGTACATTTAAGGAAAATTGTTTGTACATTGTAATTTTAGGGAAGAAATAAAATAATACAGACATAGGCCTAATTGAAATGCAGGACACTGAGCAATTGAGCTGGTGGTCACCCTAATGTGCACCAATAAATAATTTATAATAATTGCTGCAATATTCCATAAAAGAAATAAAAGAAAAGAATGGTCCATTTTGATTTCATGGTGACTTTAAGGATGTTTGGTGTTTCTACGTGGCTTTTAAAACTGACTTTCCTCAGATAACGTCGGTCAGGTGTAGAACATCACTGAGTGGATCATGTCAAGAACGCTGTCAATCATCTGAGCTCGCACGTCAGGAGCGGGATCTGGAATGTGCGGCGGAGGGATCTGTGTTGCGCGCAGGCCGCGTCCGCTCTTCCGCCCAGTTTTCCTATGTGATTCGCCTGCGCTGAAAATGGAGTTCGCGTAAAGCAGATCCTCAAAGTTCCCATGAAGAATCGCAGTCATTCTGCACGTTCCGGTGACACTTTCTGTTCCGAGCCGAGACTGTCGTCCAGCTCCAGCCTCCCCCTGTGCGTCGAGGAAGCGTACATTACACAGGGGTTCGTTTCATTGCTGAAATACTGCCGTGTGAACTTGTCTATGATCGGGTCCTGTGGATTTTCCAAACTCGCTTTCGCTGGGATTTTAGGATTTTTGTCCGACCAGGATGAGGAAGACTCCGATGGTTTCGCCTCAGAATGTGATTTATAGTGCAGATGGATCGAAGTGTTGCTTTCATTGCTTTCACACACCATTCCCGATCTGAATCCGCTGTTTTGGCGTCTCGTGCAGCATATCGACTGCAGATCGGGTCGCTTTCTGTCAATAATGGCCTTTCGTGGCGGTTTCACGGAGAAAATGGAGATATTTGCACTTTATTTCCCCGCCTTGAGTGCGAACTCGATGATATTTCCAGGATTTGAATCCCCGTGAGAAAAAATGAGCGAAGAATCAAATCCAAACAACGAGTAAGTGTGTGTACACACACACACACACACACACACACACACACGTACATTACACTGAATATGGAGCTGAATATGTCTGTTATTGCTGAGTATGTCTCGTCTAAATAGACACATATTATAAAGACATCTGATTGTTTATTTCTAAACTCAAGATGTTTGATCATATATCGAGCACTACACAATCGTAACACATGTATTACCATTGGAACAATACACAGCTTTGATGTGGCTGTTTATGACCAACATGAGCTATTGGCAAGGTGTCAATCAGCGTTATTCAATCTCAAATGAAAACACTTGGGCCTATTTGGAAATAAATATGATGTGAAAGTTATATAATGGATTCGTAGATAAACTCAGCACAGGTTCCGGGGTCTTTGAGAGCTGCTCGTTTGAGCTGTGTTGATCTCGAACGCTTTATATGTTAGTGATGTGTTTAATGTTATTTACTGCAGTGTCAGGCCGCGTCTCAAACCCTAGTGAGTGCCCTATCTAGGCAGCAGGCTCGCGCATGACAGGCGCGTGGCGCGCGCGCACAGTGCAGGGCGCGCGAGCGGGATTGACACGCGGCCTCAGAGAGCAGGGCGCCATGTTTTCTCAATCATCGCAGACCTCATTCATAAAAATGTCCAAGACACGAGAGCTGTCAACGGACGCATTGCGACTAATTTGCTGTACATTGTTCGCCGTTTCCGCGTTCATGAGCAATGTTCGTGATGTTCCCTTCTGAAGCTCTGCGCGCGAGAGAGACTGAGCTGCCCTGGTCACGTGACCCGCCTCCATTCATAAAGAACCCGCGTGCCCATTCACACACACACACACACACACACACACACACACACACACACACACACACACACACATGTCTGATGGCAGTTTTTAGAACGTATTAAAAGTAATGCCACCAAACGCAAGTGGAAATATCAAATCTAGTTTTCTTACTTTTTTGATTGTAGACGCATTTTCTATTAATCATATTTAAGAAATTAATGTTTACGAAACACATTTTTTTTGTCATATCTTCAGTCCACTTTGTCAGTATTCACGCTGTCACATGACCTGTCACATGATTGTAGAGGAATGCTGGTTTCCTTTTGTGTATAATCTATTTTATACATATTTTTTCCCCCAATGTGACACATCGCACATGTTCTGCTTTTCGTCACTGCACTAATTTAGCCATTTCATCTTCCATGTTCATGATCAGCATATAATCAGCCCTGATCATTAGTCGGTTTGAAATAATTGGCGAAATGACTATTATTATCGGCCCACTCTGATTAACCAGTGTTGAACATATTTAGCCTAAAATTGTGTGATGCACATTCAGCGAACTTAATTTATTACATTACAACAATTGATCCGAGGTGAATCATAAACATCAACCAAAATATAAAAAGCATCTGTTAACATAGTTAATGCATTAGGTAATATGAGCTAACAATGAGCAACATATAGAAACTTTTATGTTAATAAAAATGTTCTTCATTGCTTGTTCATATTAGTGCAATAACTAATATTATACAACTTTAGATTTCAAATATTGTATTAGTAAATGTATTTACATTAAGATGAATAAATGCTGTAGAAGAGTTGTCTTGTTTGTTAGTTTAACTTAACTTTAAATACATATATAATAAGAATACAATGATAATTGGTTCAAACTTAGTTTTAAAAGCAAGTAATCGTGTGGTTTTATAGAACAACACTGTTACAATTAGTGAAGTCAATCGATTAAAAAAATAATCTTGATTAATCACACATTTGTTCTGTGATTAATCACGATTAATCCTAATTAAGACACACACGTCTTTATACGTTTAAAAAAAATATATATTTAATGTCATAATTTCACAATTAATTTCCAAATTAATGTAGAGACATTTATGAATAAAGGTCAGTATCACTGACAGCTATTGATGTCTGGATGAACAATATTCCTAATGAGACATAGAAAACTACAAATTTGACTTGCTTTACGTCAAGCATTACAATAGTCATTATTTTGTTTTTCTTCGTTTCTGATGTCGCAATACATCATACTTTCATGAAATCCTGCAACATACTCTAGCTTGTCTGTGGACATCGTTCATTCCAAAGCCGGCGAGTGTGCGACAGTAGGCTGCGCTAGGCTAACTTATTTACCACAGCGGTAATGGACAATTCCACTTCCAACCTGTAGGGCGACCGCAGAGGAAAAGTTACTTAGTGTTGCTTTAAGAGCATCCGCTGCTGAACACGACGCGCATCACAAGCATTATTGTGTGTGTTATTGTTTCTTCGAGCGAGAACTGTATTCCGGAGCGCTGTCTGTGCACACGAGACTGGCGTGTTTGTGTGTGTGTGTGTGTGTCACATAAACAGGACATTCACAGACAGCGCGTTCTCTTTTGTCTTGAATGGTTTAAAAGCATTCGCATGAATAAGAGCGGGATCATAATGTAAAGCTAGCCAAAGCATGACAGCAAAAACGGATAATGCGTTAATTCGTTAAACTTAAAGGGTAACTAAACCCTAAACCAACTTTTTTTAGTTAATGATCTGTAAGAATGGGGCTTTATTAGTGCTGATCATTGATTCGAGTAACTTTTTTGACATTTGGGTATAAAATGTTTTAATTCTACAATATATGGTGTAAAAACGCCTGAGTGCTGCCCTCTTCAGGTTGAACGGTGGCTACTGCAGTTGAATTTTCCGATTGGATGTTAGCGGTGGTACTTGACGGTGACGTAAGCAGATTCCAGCTCACCACGAGCTACCACACCATCTTGTTTGGTCAAAACCACTGTGAGTCAAGAGTTGGAATTACGAGTATTGAAAACGATCAGGATAAAGTATTTTAGCATCTATTTAGCATAGCATTTATATAGTTATTTAGATTATTTTGTGTAGCCTAGTTAGTTAGTTAGTTAGTTAGTAGCATAGTACAGTTAGGATAGCTTCAAGTTAGCGTAGATGTATCTGTATTTAGTACAGTGGTCAGGATGGTAACGTTAACGGAATAGAGGTGGACATGGGCTTCTCCACACAGCTGGCGCTGAAAAGCGACGCAGTGCCAAACGCTGCTCCTCCTGCACGGACTCCACCACCGCAGTCGCGTCTTGATGTGAGTGATCATGTATATTTTAATCACAATTTATGGATAGGCTAAAGTTAATCCTCTGGGGTCGACAAACGCGCCGGCGCATTATGCTGGATTTTTTCACATAGCGACAGAATATGAATATGCCTACAGAGAGCGCGCGCTATTGACATCAACTCGACAAAACTCATCAGATGCCGCTCGCGACGTGGGAGTTAAGACCGCAGTTTGAGCCAGCGGCTCGAATTGATATGGCCCTGTGTCCACAGACAATTCACCCTCCTCCACTTCAGGTGAAGCTGGGGGAGAAAAGTCCTCGACTTCAAATGACCGCTCTGTTGCAAAGCTACTTGCGTCACTCCAGTCACTCTCCATTTTAGAGTCTGACAGCAGCTGTCAATCAATCCGTCACTGCGGGTCTCAGGTGCACGCCCCCCGCTCAGCCCCGCCCTCAGATCGCCCCCTCCATCTCCGCTGGGGTCTGCCCACTTTTTCAGCATTTTTCAAATATTGCCAGTGGGTGGAGTCAGACTCTGAGCAGGGGTTTAGTTACCCTTTAAGCACTAAAGCCGCCTTTCCACTGCACACGACATTCGCATACGATTGTCGCATTGCGCCCCCTAGTGGCAGTCGCACGGAACTTTGAAATTGGTCATGAAGCAACCGTTACTCTCGGCTATTCACAATGGTAAAATGAATGATGAATGTAATGGATGCATGAATATATCCAAATGACCCTCAATACATCTACAATAAAAACAATAGATTTTACAGAGCTAATCAATATAAATATTGATTTAATAATTATAAAATATTTTTTTCTGCCATAATTATTAATAACCGACATTTTACAGAAATAGCGTTTACAGAATAACATTAAAGAGTTGAAATATTGGTAATTCTAGCCTCGCGCTCATAGTTTTGATTAGAATACATCACATCCGGTCGGCCGGTCGCATACGGCCTAGCCGCAAAAGTTCAGATATTTCAACTAGAGGTCGACCGATTCATCGGTTTTGCCGATTAATCGGCGCCGATAGTTGTTTGGTGGAACTATCGTTATCGGCAAAAATCCACACCGATAGTTTTTCCGGGTTGCGTCCGTTGCTGGAGCGGCTGAGAAGTGCGCGCGGTCATTACACAGCACGAGAGCGCTCAGAACAGAAGAGACTGCTGGCATTATACAGAGTGAGAGCGGCCTCTAGAGGACAAATAACAAACTATCACTGGCTGAGTTGTTTACGTTAACACGTGAGGCAGCGCGCAGCACAGAGAGAACACGCAGCACAGAGAGCGCTGACATTTAAAACACCGACAACGAAACGGTATGAATCCATAACACTAAAGTAGCTACACATTGCCATATCATTACAAATTAATTCATTTGTTGACTAGATGCTGCATCAGCAGAGAAAGAACAGTAGTTTGCCGTCGAGGCTGTGAGGACTCTAACATTACCTCAGTCAACCGTTAATGCAATGTGACAAAAACACACGCAGACCTGACCCAAATGTTTTATGGCGCAATTGTTACAATCTATTTGCATTATTTTTATCCGGCTGGTCACTTTTATGCGTTCATTAGCCGACGAAGTTGCATATTTAAAACTAGTGACGTGATTGCTTTCTCAACATTGATATGTTCATGCAGCCGACAGAAACGTAAACTAATCAGAAACGCGTTCGATTTAAGATCTTTTTAATCACTACAATAGATCTTGTTATTTTTGATTAGATAATCATCAAGTGTTCTAAAATATAGAAGCAAATAAAGTGAGAGACTATAGGCTATATTACGTATACATAATACAGGTCTTTATTACATTTTAATGGCCATCTTTAAGCACGACTCTTTGGAATCATATGAAAAGGTAACACTTTACAATAACATTCCATTTTTAGCATTAAATAAGGTTAATACAAGTTGTAGAAGAATTATTCATTGTTACGGTAGTTTGTTAATTTCAAAATTTACTAATGCATTTGAAATTGAGTTTTAATTCTTATTTTATCTTTTATTACCTTAGTTAATGTACTGTGAATGAACTAACATGAATGATAAAGGTACAATTGTATTGCTCATATTAATACATGCAGTAAAAAGGTATATTACATTATGCATATAGTTCATGAAAGCTAGTTAATACATCCTTGTTTACAAATGGGACTTGCAAAGTGTTACCTATGAAATGTACATATGTTTCTAGGTTATAGCTAACGAAACCTGTAATATTTTAATGTTTAAATTATTTTCTGTATAAAGTTAATATATTCATATTCATTTATTTATTTAATTGAGCACATTTCAGTTCAGCACTGTTTTATTGTGAGTATGATGTTTGTTTTTAATCCAGTATCCATTAAAAAAAATATCGGTTGAATTATCGGTTATCGGCATGTACGGTCAAACCTAGATATCGGTATCGGTAAAATCCACTATCGGTCGACCTCTAATTTCAACGGATCCAAAGCTCAAATCGGATACGAATTTTCCGCATACGCATATGATCGGAACTCCCCGCAGCACCCGTACGACTCTCCATTGGAAATGAATGACTTCCGGTCCAACGGCGGCTTTAAACTATATAGCCTAATATACACAGTATAAGCAGTCGTCTCCTGCAGATGATGTGTTCTGACCGGAGCCTGCAGGGGGCGCCAGCGGCTGGTGTCGCTACACTACAGCACATCAAGGCCTGGTTATGGACAAACATATCATTCAAATGTCTAATCTTTAATATTGGGCCATTAGAGATGCTGCAGCCACTGTCATTTCCTGAACATGTGCACATCAAAACATGAGCAAGGGTTTAAACTTTAATTTTGAAATCTCGATGAGCAATTTGTTCAAATGCAAAAATTCAAATGCATTTTGAGCGGCAAAATTTCAGGGCATCCCTAATTTTGGGGCAAGAAAGAGTTGGATAGTCTCTGAGCGAGAGTGTGTGTTGTAGGAGCGTGAGCAACACACGTGCGGCCTGAAGTGTGTGTGTGTGTGTGTGTGTGAGAGCTGACAAACTGGATGACAGCAGGAAGGGTCGAGGCGGTGTGTGTGTGTGTGTGTGTGTGTGTACTGTACGGAAGTCTCCGAGTCGGTTCAATGCTAGTTTGACTGCAGTTACTGTAAGCTAGCAGTCATTGGTGTTATGTAATCTAGGCTGAATAAAACATGAATAGTTCTGATCAGAGTGTTTTGCATGTTCTCCTCATTGCGGTTTATAATGCTGAGGATGACTAATGCACTTTTACAAGTTGATTGTACTGAAATGTGTGTTGGCAGTGCCTGTACACAACCATCATATAATGATAAAAATCCATCCAGTGTTTTTGTTTTAATCTCCTTATATGTTTTCCCCTGCCTCAAATCGAGCCGTTCGACCGTGTGACGTCACACGCTCGGAAGCCCCTCCCACGATTGTTGAATGACAGCCGCGTTTCAACACAGACCCGCCCTCGCTCGTGAGAGCTGTCAATCATAGTCTGCGCGGACCGGCGCGGTCATTGTTGATATGCTGGAGCACTGTCTATGAGCAGAATGGCGTCTAAGCGATTGTGGTGTTCTGTTCTTGGGTGTAATAACGAACACAGTCATTTTAATGTTCCTAAATCCGAACCGCTGAAGACGCAGTGGCTGAGTTTGTTTCCGAAGGGAATATTCCCCACGAGCAACGTCAATGCTCTCATGTTTGCGCGAATCATTTCTCACCAGACTGCTTTATAAACTAGGGTCAGTATAAAGCTGGATTTGCTAAGAAGCTGCTCCTGAATAAAGGATCGGTACCAGATATTCGTGTTCCTGCTGAACCTCTAGAACAACTGAAGTGAGTGTAACGTTTTATTAAACTTTATATTAATATCTAATCTTTGCAAATCGCTAGCTGCACGCTTCACGATGAATGCGTCTAAGGTTTACACTCAGGGTACATTACGGCATGTTTTCTATGTACGACGTTCTCAATATAATTCATAATCCCACGTCTATAATGAACAACGCGTTATGGTTATTGTGTTACAAACGGTGTATGCGCAGAACAGAGGGGCGGAGTGAGCAAAGCTCATTATCATTTAAAGTCATATGCACTGAAACGGCGTGCTGAAAACAGAGCTGTTTTTGACCAGATAAAATAAGTGTTTTCTTACAATACTAATGAGAATTTTTAATTAAAGTATATTACAAACTTTTAATTTAGACCCTAAAGAATCATATTAGCTTGTACAAAAATGGCATTATATGACCCCTTTAACATAATTAACTGTGTATTTGACCGTTTAAGCGCAGTAAGCTACTCGATTTAGTAGTTGTGACTCACAAGCTGTTTGACACAAGCCTTTCCACTATGTCTGACATTCGCATATGATTTTCGTATTTCAATCGTGAAGCAACCGTTACCCTCAGATTATTCACCATGGTAAAATGAATGATTTTAATCTAATTAAAATGTAATTTCACAAACCGGATGCTTCAGATGTTTGCCATTAGCGTTCGGCACGCATAAGATTCGCGGATTAACTGCAAACTTTAACCATCATAGAGTGAACGTGTTTTATAGTCCGTATTTTATTACGGACTGTTCACTTGTTGTTAATAATGTGTGAACTTTATCAGTTATGCTTGTAGTTTTTGATGTGGTATCGAAGAACTTCAAGTGAGCTTTAAGTAATAAATGAAAAGCAAATCTACCCCCCCCCCCCCCATATATACTGGTGAAACTCGAAAAATTAGAATATGGTGCTAAAGTTCATTTATTTCAGTAATTCAACTTAAAATGTGAAACTAATATATTATATAGACCCATTACATGCAAAGTGAGATATTTCAAGCCTTTATTTGTTATAATTTTGATGATTATGGCTCACAGCTTATGAAAACCTGACTTTGTGTGTGTGTGTGTGTGTGTGTGCGCTCTTGTGCCGCAGTGAGAGTTTTGCGCGTGTGAGAGCGGTGGTCATGACTCGAGATGACTCCAGTGGCGGATGGCTTCCTCAGGGCGCCGGCGGCCTCAGCCTCGTCTCCGTACTCAAGATCAGCCGAGCCGAGGCCGAAGACCAGTTCCTCATCCACGGGGAGCGGCTCAAGGACAAATCGGTAACGGTGACATCATCACACTCACAGGAAGTGCATGTTCGGCGCTGCTGATGTCATCAGTGAACAGCCTGACACGCCGCTTGTTTCCACTCCACCAAACTGCAATAGCAAACATTTTAAATGCAGTTATGTCGAGCATAAATAAATAAAATAAAAAGAACGCTCGAGCTGGACCGTCTAAAGCTCAGCGATTCCCTCGGCGTCACTCAGACATGCTGCAGTATTCCCTTTCAGGCCGACTGCAACTTCACAGTACTATATCATTTTTATTCATATTTTGAAGTAGTTTTATTTTCATGTTTTCTGTTTATTTTAGTAAAACTAAAAATATATATTTTAAATATTTATATTATATTTTATATTAAGATTATTTTAGTACATCAAGTTAAACAAAAACAAAAAACACATGTTGCCCTGGCAAAAAGATCTAATCTTTTCTTTTCTCTCCTTTAACGTTTATTTAATTGTCAATGTTTATTATAGGTTTAGTTTTAATTAAAATAATCCTGACTTAAGTGTTATTTAATATCGCCTTTATTAATATTTCGAAGTTGTTTTTTGTATATTTACTGTTTTACATTTTTTTTTATTTTAGTTGAAGTTTTAGTCGTTTTGTGTAAGAATTTTGACATTTTTTGTTTGTTTATATAGTTTTATATAGTTTGTACATCAAACTAAATGAGAAATGCTGGCTTGTATGGAAGCTTGTTTCCGCCACTGAATAAAAAAGAAAATTGTCTCTTTGAAACTTACAATTCAGACTTTTTTTTTTCTCAGAATTGGACTTAATAACAAAATTGCGACTTTAAATCATGCAATTCTGAGAAATAAATTGTCAGATAAAAAGTCGCAATTATCTCTTAAAATGTTTTATTCTGTGGCGGAAACAAGCTTCCATCGCCTTGGTCTTGTTTTTAAAAATATTTGACTTCAATATAGCTTATATATTTTAGTATAAGTTGTAGTTCTTCAGTGTTTGAGTGCCTCAGCGAGCTGCTGTCTGTGCAGACACGGGTCTGATCCCGTGTAATGGAGAGCTTCATCTGGTCCTCAGGTGCTGCTGGACTGCTGCATCCGGAGGGATCTGGTGTATAATAAAGTCAATCCCATCTTCCACCACTGGAGGATCGGCAACATGAAGTTTGGACTGACCTTCCAGAGCCCAGCGGACGCCAGGGCCTTCGACCGAGGGATACGGCGGGCCATGGAGGACATTAAACAAGGTGAGCGTTTAGTGCCGTTACTGTGTGCTAATAAAGCAAGAATCTTCTGTGTCAATCAGCAGTGTGACGTCTGTGTTCACTCTCATTGCTCAGAGGCCCCGCTCACCTTCTAAAAACATGAACGGAAATGTTTTACAACAATGTTAAATGTGTTTGATATAGTATCTCATTTCTGAAATGCGTTTTCATCATGGACTGTAAAAAAATATGGGCATAGTGTCCTTGACATCACCCGTAGTGTTTCTGAAGAGCATTTTTAAAGCCCTAAAGTGGGCGGAGCCGGCCGTTGCCATCTTGGCAGCGTCACTCTCAAATAAACGAAAATGGGCAAAGAGGCGGATTAGCTGAGGTGACGTGAAGCTAACAGACAGCAGACAAACGGCTAAAAATTAGCTATATAGACCAAAACCACTTTTTGTACCAGGCTGTAAACATGTTTTTTTCTGCTGTTAAGTTGTGCATTTTAAGGGTCTCTGGGATTGACTTTCTTCTGCAGCCTCTAGTGGCCAGTCGATGAATTGCAGTTTAAATCACTTCCGTGTTGCTCATGAAGTCAGAGGCTCGTTCCTGCGGGTGGAATTTTACCAGTGTGTGTTGTGTAACGCAGGTCTCCAGTGTTCCCCCCCGCTTGTGTAACGCAGGTCTTCAGTGTTCCTCCCGCTTGTGTAACGCAGGTCTCCAGTGTTCCTCCCGCTTGTGTAACGCAGGTCTCCAGTGTTCCTCCCGCTTGTGTAACGCAGGTCTCCAGTGTTCCTCCCGCTTGTGTAATGCAGGTCTCCAGTGTTCCTCCCGCTTGTGTAACGCAGGTCTCCAGTGTTCCTCCCGCTTGTGTAACGCAGGTCTTCAGTGTTACTCCCGCTTGTGTAACGCAGGTCTCCAGTGTTCCTCCCGCTTGTGTAACGCAGGTCTTCAGTGTTACTCCCGCTTGTGTAATGCAGGTCTCCAGTGTTCCTCCCGCTTGTGTAACGCAGGTCTCCAGTGTTCCCCCCGCTTGTGTAACGCAGGTCTCCAGTGTTCCTCCCGCTTGTGTAACGCAGGTCTCCAGTGTTCCCCCCGCTTGTGTAACGCAGGTCTCCAGTGTTCCCCCCGCTTGTGTAACGCAGGTCTCCAGTGTTCCTCCCGCTTGTGTAACGCAGGTCTCCAGTGTTCCCCCCGCTTGTGTAACGCAGGTCTCCAGTGTTCCTCCCGCTTGTGTAACGCAGGTCTCCAGTGTTCCCCCCCCGGTTGTGTAACGCAGGTCTCCAGTGTTCCTCCCGCTTGTGTAATGCAGGTCTCCAGTGTTCCCCCCGCTTGTGTAACGCAGGTCTCCAGTGTTCCCCCCCGGTTGTGTAACGCAGGTCTCCAGTGTTCCCCCCGCTTGTGTAACGCAGGTCTCCAGTGTTCCCCCCCCGCTTGTGTAACGCAGGTCTCCAGTGTTCCCCCCCGGTTGTGTAATGCAGGTCTCCAGTGTTCCTCCCGCTTGTATAACGCAGGTCTCCAGTGTTCCCCCCGCTTGTGTAACGCAGGTCTCCAGTGTTCCCCCCGCTTGTGTAACGCAGGTCTCCAGTGTTCCCCCCCGCTTGTGTAACGCAGGTCTCCAGTGTTCCCCCCCGGTTGTGTAACGCAGGTCTCCAGTGTTCCCCCCCGGTTGTGTAACGCAGGTCTCCAGTGTTCCCCCCGCTTGTGTAACGCAGGTCTCCAGTGTTCCCCCCGCTTGTGTAACGCAGGTCTCCAGTGTTCCTCCCGCTTGTGTAACGCAGGTCTCCAGTGTTCCTCCCGCTTGTGTAACGCAGGTCTCCAGTGTTCCTCCCGCTTGTGTAACGCAGGTCTCCAGTGTTCCCCCCCGCTTGTGTAATGCAGGTCTCCAGTGTTCCTCCCGCTTGTGTAACGCAGGTCTCCAGTGTTCCCCCCGCTTGTGTAACGCAGGTCTCCAGTGTTCCTCCCGCTTGTGTAACGCAGGTCTCCAGTGTTCCCCCCCGCTTGTGTAATGCAGGTCTCCAGTGTTCCTCCCGCTTGTGTAACGCAGGTCTCCAGTGTTCCCCCCCGCTTGTGTAACGCAGGTCTCCAGTGTTCCTCCCGCTTGTGTAACGCAGGTCTCCAGTGTTCCCCCCCGCTTGTGTAATGCAGGTCTCCAGTGTTCCTCCCGCTTGTGTAACGCAGGTCTCCAGTGTTCCCCCCGCTTGTGTAACGCAGGTCTCCAGTGTTCCCCCCCGCTTGTGTAACGCAGGTCTCCAGTGTTCCTCCCGCTTGTGTAACGCAGGTCTCCAGTGTTCCCCCCCGCTTGTGTAACGAAGGTCTCCAGTGTTCCTCCCGCTTGTGTAACGCAGGTCTCCAGTGTTCCCCCCCGCTTGTGTAACGAAGGTCTCCAGTGTTCCCCCCGCTTGTGTAACGCAGGTCTCCAGTGTTCCTCCCGCTTGTGTAACGCAGGTCTCCAGTGTTCCCCCCCGCTTGTGTAACGAAGGTCTCCAGTGTTCCCCCCGCTTGTGTAACGCAGGTCTCCAGTGTTCCTCCCGCTTGTGTAACGCAGGTCTCCAGTGTTCCCCCCCGCTTGTGTAACGAAGGTCTCCAGTGTTCCCCCCCGCTTGTGTAACGCAGGTCTCCAGTGTTCCCCCCCGGTTGTGTAACGCAGGTCTCCAGTGTTCCTCTCGCTTGTGTAACGCAGGTCTCCAGTGTTCCCCCCGCTTGTGTAACGCAGGTCTCCAGTGTTCCTCCCGCTTGTGTAACGCAGGTCTCCAGTGTTCCCCCCCGCTTGTGTAACGAAGGTCTCCAGTGTTCCCCCCCGCTTGTGTAACGCAGGTCTCCAGTGTTCCCCCCCCGGTTGTGTAACGCAGGTCTCCAGTGTTCCTCTCGCTTGTGTAACGCAGGTCTCCAGTGTTCCCCCCGCTTGTGTAACGCAGGTCTCCAGTGTTCCTCCCGCTTGTGTAACGCAGGTCTCCAGTGTTCCCCCCGCTTGTGTAACGCAGGTCTCCAGTGTTCCTCCCGCTTGTGTAACGCAGGTCTCCAGTGTTCCCCCCCGCTTGTGTAACGCAGGTCTCCAGTGTTCCCCCCCGCTTGTGTAACGCAGGTCTCCAGTGTTCCCCCCCGGTTGTGTAACGCAGGTCTCCAGTGTTCCTCTCGCTTGTGTAACGCAGGTCTCCAGTGTTCCTCTCGCTTGTGTAACGCAGGTCTCCAGTGTTCCTCTCGCTTGTGTAACGCAGGTCTCCAGTGTTCCCCCCCGGTTGTGTAACGCAGGTCTCCAGTGTTCTCCCCCGGTCGGTTGTGTAACGCAGGTCTCCAGTGTTCCCCCCCGGTTGTGTAACGCAGGTCTCCAGTGTTCCCCCCCGGTTGTGTAACGCAGGTCTCCAGTGTTCCTCTCGCTTGTGTAACGCAGGTCTCCAGTGTTCCCCCCCGGTTGTGTAACGCAGGTCTCCAGTGTTCCTCCCGCTTGTGTAACGCAGGTCTCCAGTGTTCCTCTCGCTTGTGTAACGCAGGTCTCCAGTGTTCCTCTCGCTTGTGTAACGCAGGTCTCCAGTGTTCCCCCCCGCTTGTGTAACGCAGGTCTTCAGTGTTACTCCCGCTTGTGTAACGCAGGTCTCCAGTGTTCCTCTCGCTTGTGTAACGCAGGTCTCCAGTGTTCCTCTCGCTTGTGTAACGCAGGTCTCCAGTGTTCCTCTCGCTTGTGTAACGCAGGTCTCCAGTGTTCCTCTCGCTTGTGTAACGCAGGTCTCCAGTGTTCCTCTCGCTTGTGTAACGCAGGTCTCCAGTGTTCCTCTCGCTTGTGTAACGCAGGTCTCCAGTGTTCCCCCCCGGTTGTGTAACACAGGTCTCCAGTGTTCCTCCCGCTTGTGTAACGCAGGTCTCCAGTGTTCCTCTCGCTTGTGTAACGCAGGTCTCCAGTGTTCCTCTCGCTTGTGTAACGCAGGTCTCCAGTGTTCCCCCCCGCTTGTGTAACGCAGGTCTCCAGTGTTCCTCCCGCTTGTGTAACGCAGGTCTCCAGTGTTCCCCCCGCTTGTGTAACGCAGGTCTCCAGTGTTCCCCCCCGGTTGTGTAACGCAGGTCTCCAGTGTTCCTCCCGCTTGTGTAACGCAGGTCTCCAGTGTTCCCCCCGCTTGTGTAACGCAGGTCTCCAGTGTTCCTCCCGCTTGTGTAACGAAGGTCTCCAGTGTTCCCCCCCGGTTGTGTAACGCAGGTCTCCAGTGTTCCTCTCGCTTGTGTAACGCAGGTCTCCAGTGTTCCTCTCGCTTGTGTAACGCAGGTCTCCAGTGTTCCCCCCCGGTTGTGTAACGCAGGTCTCCAGTGTTCCTCCCGCTTGTGTAACGCAGGTCTCCAGTGTTCCTCTCGCTTGTGTAACGAAGGTCTCCAGTGTTCCCCCCCGCTTGTGTAACGCAGGTCTCCAGTGTTCCTCCCGCTTGTGTAACGCAGGTCTCCAGTGTTCCTCTCGCTTGTGTAACGCAGGTCTCCAGTGTTCCTCTCGCTTGTGTAACGCAGGTCTCCAGTGTTCCTCCCGCTTGTGTAACGAAGGTCTCCAGTGTTCCCCCCCGGTTGTGTAACGCAGGTCTCCAGTGTTCCTCTCGCTTGTGTAACGCAGGTCTCCAGTGTTCCTCTCGCTTGTGTAACGCAGGTCTCCAGTGTTCCCCCCCGCTTGTGTAACGCAGGTCTCCAGTGTTCCTCCCGCTTGTGTAACGCAGGTCTCCAGTGTTCCCCCCGCTTGTGTAACGCAGGTCTCCAGTGTTCCCCCCCGGTTGTGTAACGCAGGTCTCCAGTGTTCCTCCCGCTTGTGTAACGCAGGTCTCCAGTGTTCCTCTCGCTTGTGTAACGCAGGTCTCCAGTGTTCCCCCCGCTTGTGTAACGCAGGTCTCCAGTGTTCCTCCCGCTTGTGTAACGAAGGTCTCCAGTGTTCCCCCCCGGTTGTGTAACGCAGGTCTCCAGTGTTCCTCTCGCTTGTGTAACGCAGGTCTCCAGTGTTCCCCCCCGCTTGTGTAACGCAGGTCTTCAGTGTTACTCCCGCTTGTGTAACGCAGGTCTCCAGTGTTCCTCTCGCT